AAAAAAAAAAGCCTGTATTTTGGTTCGAGCGTTTGGGTTTGGCTTCGCTTCGGCGCGGGCGATCGGTCAGCACAGGGCATCTCAGCTGTCACATGTCGCGGGCTTCCAACCAGGGTGCAAATAGCCCGCTCTTTTGCGCTCCGCCCCCGCCCCTGCGCTGCTTCGGTGCGTGCACTCCGTCGTGCCAATTTCAAAGCCAGCTCATCCAACCGCTGCAGATCCATGCCGTCATCGATGCAGAGCCAGCAACAACGCGCGTCCGGATCCGGCTCTTCGGTGCTCCCCTCCCCGAATCGCTGCTCTCTCTCATTCTGTCGCCCATGCATTCGGCGACTCAACTGTGCTGTTGCCCCCTTCTCGAGCCAGACACTCGCATTTCGGCATTCTTCGCCGTTACGCCCAGCTCATTCCCGCAACAGCCCGGCCGAGACGTAATGCATGGATCGGAGTGTTTGGACGAGGGGGAGTGTTGAACGATTCTGCTCGGTCGGCTCGGTGCACAGCAGCCGAGCATTCAGCCGGGCCCCGTTCGCCCTCGCATGCGCCATTTGGCGAGCCAGCGTGCGGCTTCGCTTGCGTCGCCAGCTCGACTTTGCCTGCGCGCGCTCCACGCTGTGCGCCTGGCCGTCGTGCATTGCATCGTCGATCCTCACAGCTGCACCCGCACACGCCCCCCCTCCCTGGTTCCTGGCTTCTTGCTTCTGGCTTCTGGCTTCCCCCGTCTGTGCCGTGCCGCAACGCTCCAACAATGCCGCGGCATCTTCCCAAGAACGCCCGCGTGTCCCCTCGCCAAATCTTCTCTTTCTCGCCCCTTGCCCATCCCTGCAGCAACTGCAGGCACAGCAGGCACAGCAAGCAACTTTGCAACCCGAACCCGATTTTGGCCCCCCTTTGTCCGTAGCAGTCGTGTGTTCGGGTTTTGTTTGGCCCTAGCCCCCTCCCCCTTTTCCTTTTTCTCGCCTAGCTCTGCCGAGTCGTTTCGCCCCCTTTCACTTTTTTCCCTGCGCCCTGCGCCCATCGATCCAAGCGTGTGGTTGTGAGAAAAAAAAGGCTGTCACCTTTGACGCTAAGCCCGAGGTTGGCTGTCACATTGCCTCGCTTGCATGCTTAGCTTGCCACTAGACGCCATCTGCCGCTGTCAATCGGCTCCGGTCTGCAAACGAAATGCTCGTGGAAACCTTAGTTCTGTCGTTAGACTGTCCGTTCCGAATACTGTAGCCCCTGTCGATCGCCCACCCTGCCCAGTCTGCATTGAATGCTCGTTAGAGTAGAGGATGCGGCGGTCTTATTTGTGACAGATGATACCCGTCATTGGAAGCCTAATGATAGCTTGTGCAACAGCTCGATGGAGGGTTTCACGTTGATCCTTCCATCGAGAACAAGCACGAGGCTGCATCTCGGCTGTCGCCTGGCTGTGGCCCGCCTTGCATGCAGCTGGACCCCCTGTAGTGTGGAACAAATAATCCCAACCGTGTCAACGCAGCAAGACTATGCACAGGATGGCAAGCCACAATCCCCATCCATCATCGCCACCCCCTGGTACGCCCAGCAGCATGAGAGCTTGATATGCGCACAGCTTCTCACGTTTCCGACTCGGGGATCGAACAACTAGCCTGCTGCAGTAGTGCCTCTTGTGCGCCATGCAGACTATCATAGATGCACGTCTACGATTCAAGCCATAGTAAGTTGAAGGAAAGGCGGGCCAAGCTGCACACCGAACAACTGCGATCGCCGCACCAATCCAAGCTGTCGACTTGCTTCCTTACACTGTGACACTTTTGTGGCAAGTGTCGATTGACGGCTTGCAATGGCCCGTGAAACTTTCGGAACATGCGCTTCGGCCACTCCCGACCGATGCTGTGCCTTGATGCAGGACTCCTGCGCATGCAGCAACGCAAGCGGGCGGCATCCTACAGCACAGCGAGCCTTCCATGCACATTTACAGTACGCAGCCTCCGACATGCAATTCCAGACACCCCTCACCGCTCCCTTTTTTTCCCACGAGCCACCGCACACACATGCAAGATTCGCTGCACGTCAGCCTCGGCCATCGGCCCGAGAGGCGTGCACAGCGATCAGCGCTTCGTCCATCGCATCGCTCGTCCTGGCATGTGCGGATCAGCCCCGATCGACAAATCGACAAAGCCGGACCATCTCATTCCGCCAAGCCGCGAACGCATACCTCAAAACTGTTAGGCCGCAGAATCTAGCTGGAATGAAAAAAGTCGACATGTTAGGCTGTTGCGCGGACGCGTTCTCCACAAAGACAGCTTTTGGGCAGCGTAACCGGGCAACCGGTCGCATGGCGTGGACATGCGCAGGGGCCTGCTCGCAGCCGAGGCGAGCCTCACTCCTCTCCACTCGCATCCGTATCGCCCAGCATCCATCCTCGCATCAGCGCTTGTCTTGGTCCTAGCTAGCTGCCTCAAGGCTCCAGAGCAGTGGTGCGCTCGAGCCTATTTGCGGCGCAGCAGGAAGCTCAAGCACCCATCGCAGCTCGGCGTGGCGTATCTTCAAGCCCAGCACTGTTGGAGCTCGACCGTCAATCCATCCTGGCAGCACGCGCCAAAAGCAGCCATGTACCGTCAGGATCGCCCGTTCACATGGGGCGGCGCCCAAGCAGGCTCATCTTATCTGGACGCCAACTCTCCCTCGATGGAGTCGAGCACCTTTGGCTGTAAGTGCACCTCTGACAGCGAATGATAAGAAGTGGGCTGTATGCTGATGAACGCTGGAACAGTCGAGCCAAGCGTCCCGGATGCCTATCGACAGGCGTGGAACGTCATCGTCACAGGCTCGCCGAGCGACTCCTTCTCGGTTCCCATCGACGCCGACGTGCCGCTCGGCTCGCTCCACAGCTTCCTCGGCTCGGCCGCCAAACTCGGGCCGGGAAGCGCCGAGCAGATCGTGACCATCGCTTGCAAAGGCTCGCGCTGCTCTCGTACCGACTTCTACCTCGCACTGGGGCTGCTGCACCAGATGCAGCAAGGTGACGAGCTCGATGTGCATGCGACCCAGCAGAGGCTCAATGCAGGCACTCTCGGCGTGCCTACACTGCATCTTGCTGAGCACGCCTCGGGGGCGCGCAACAGCCACACCTTTCCACCCGCAGCTGCGCCGTCCGGCTTCAGCAGATCAGACCCACGCCCAGCTGGCCCGATGCGCGAAATGTCGGATCCGTGGAACCCGAGCGGCAACAGCAGCCTCAACGGCAACGATCACCGATCCACACCCAACCACGTCTACGATGGCATGCCGCATCAGCACGACGCTGGCATGAGCTACGATTCGGCCTTCCGCGGCGGCTTTGCGGCCAATGGATCTTCCGGGGTGGACCGCACGAGAAGCACGCTGGCCGATCCAAGACGCTCGCAGCAGCTGTACACCCACGCCGAGGATGCGCCGAATGCCTTTCTGGCAGCCGACCAGTCGCGGCGCAATCCAACTGCACGACAGGAGCGGCCGTTCTCGTACATGTCGGACACGGCCGAGACAAATGCGGCGGATGCGACGGAAGATCCGTCGGCGGAGCTGCCCGAGGACGTAGTGGCGGTGCGGCTGCGCAGCGAGCTGGAGGGATTCATCATCAAGCACAACGTGTACGTGGTGACGTCGAGTCTGCGCAAGTCGTCGGTGACGCGGCGGTACAGCGACTGGCTGTGGCTGGCGGAATGCCTGGTGAAGCGCTATCCGTTCCGCTGCCTGCCCGTGCTGCCGCCGAAGCGGATCGCGATGCCGATCGCCGGACGCCATCTGAGCGCGGACGATCTGTTCATCGAGCGGCGTCGGCGCGGACTGGAGCGCTACCTGCGCATGCTCACGTGCCATCCGATGCTGCGCAGCGACAAGCTCGTCGAGGTATTTTTCACCGAGCCGCGCTCGATTGCCGAGTGGAAGAGCTCGGCGCCGGCGTTGTTCCTGGACGAGGAAGGGCTGGTCAAGATCGTGGACGAGGCGGAGCGCATGAGCATCCCCGAGGATCTCGAGCTCAAGCTCACGCAGCAGCGCAAGGCGATTCCGGAGCTGCTCGAGAGGTGGACGGCGATGGTGGCGCTGTTTGAGCGCATCGTCAAGCGCAACGATGCGGCGGCGGCCGACACTTCCAGGCTCAACTTTTCGCTGCTCTCGGTGATCGAGACGTCGGCCAAACGGTGGAGGCCCGGGAGCGACAACTCGCAGCGCACCGAAGAGGTCATGACGACCACGGCGGGCATCTTGCAGGAGCATTCGGACCTGACTGCGTCGCGCGTGAGTGCCGTATCGCTGTCGACGCTCGAAGGGCTCAAGGCGCAGCGCGACCTGATCGTGTCGTTCCGCGACCTGGTGGCACGCATCGACCGGCAGATGGTGGACCCGATCGACATGCTCAAGAAGCGCATCGAGGCGACGCAGAGGAAGCTCACCACGCTCGCCACCGCGCCTGGCCCCGCGGCGAGCACCGAGCAGGAGCAGGCGACGCTATCGGCGCAGGTCAAGCAGGACACGCTGTCGATCCAAAAGTACCTCAACCGGCGAATCCACGCCAAGAAGACCATCTGGGAGGAACTGATCTGGTTCCACCACCGCTTCAAGGCCGTCGAACACGACCTGCACAAGTTTGTGCGCGACGAGACCTACTTCCTCGCCAACCTCACGCGCACCTGGGAGACGGCCGAGATGAAGATGAAGATGATCCGCTGAACGTGCGCCGCCCGCTTCACTTTCACGTTGGTGTTCTGCTTGGCATGCCTCAGCCATTTCTCTGCACTTGACCCTGTCGATCCATCGGCGCCTTTATCTTGACTGACTGTGTGGGGTGTGTTTATGCGCGGCGACGCGGGCAGCTTTACGCGGCGGCATGCAGGGTTTCGTGGCTGAGGCGCGCGCTGAGGCGGAATGAAAGCGGACCGAGGAACGCACGCAGCTGCCAAAGAGAGTCGGCTGTCAAGGCGACGGGAAACGGAAAGGCGAAATTTGCAGAAATCACAAAATCACACCCACCTTTCAGTCCGCTGTTTTTTTTTCCGGGAGAGCGGTGGAGGATATGCAGGGCGGTCAGGGCAGGTGGGCCTGAACTGCTGAACTGCTGAACTGCTGAAC